TATATATATTAAATTTGATTAATCCTAAGCCCACTAATTTTACTCTCACAATAATAAATAATTAATGTGCAGCTAGCATTCGGACTAATATACTATTTGGACTGTAATGTTATAATTAATATATCCATTATCTATACTAAATTAATTAGCTAAACAGATTATATATATGATGGAGGACAGTAGGGAATGACATACTCAGCATGATAATATAGTATATTCACATTTTTATATACATTACAAGAATATTGTTAACTCGAAATTATTTTAGATTAGTTTATTTTAAGTTAATTAAGATTAGTTTATTTTGACTCAATTATTTAAAATTAGTTTATATGCTAAAACAAAAATAGAAAAAAGAAGGTTTACATACATGCCACCTAATTTATATGTATTTACATATTTAACACCTGTATCCATTTTCTTAAAATTAGAATGATGATATTTTTTTTTTATATCACATGAAATATTTGGATGATATAAATGTAAAAAAGTAAAGTTTTAAGTGTTAGATAGGCAAAGTATTGAATTGAAAAATTAATCTCGTTATTTAAAGTGAAAATAAACCACATTCGTCAAGGGAAAAAGTCAAATTTATTCGTAAAAGACTTGGCAAATATTGCATGGCATATGTGGCTTGATGAGGACCATCTCCCCTTGTCGGATCGCTTCGTGCGTCAAGCATTTTCTCCATTATTTTTGGTTGGATCTGTCCGCCACGTCTAGTAACATGTCGTATCTGTTTTACAACTGATCCATGTTTTGTCAGAGTACTTTGATGTCAGACTTGTTTCGATGCCCTTTTAAAGAAATCATTCTTCCTTATCGGACTGCTTCGTGCGTCTAACATATACTTTGAGCATCATACTGCAGACTATTTAGCCGTATAGTTGCTAAGCTATGCCTAGACAGGATACCTACCTCTTTTCCTGATATGAATTTGCATCAATATGTCTAATTTTATGTACTGATATGTATAACTATGTAGAAATTCTCATACTTAATATTTTATATATAATTATTCGCATCTTTGCCAGACATGCGGGGACAAAATATTTTCACTTGATATGAAATAGTATTCTCATGATATAAGCGGAAAATCTTAAGTTAGTAGTGGAGGAAAACATTAGGTGTGTGGCACGCACCTGCGACCAACCAGTAAGAGGAGAGAGAGAGAGTAGGGACACACATGACACTCCCTCTCTATTCTTACTGACTGACCTTTGATACGTGCAATGCCCCTAATATTTTCTCGTAGTAAATGAGGGATAAAATTTTATACTTCATGTGATTTTTTAGTTTTTATCTATACTTTATTATTTTATTTTGATATAAAAATGTATATGATTTCATTTTGGCTTATTTTATAATTCAATTTTGAATGGAGTTGGATTGCCATTTGTCCTTCATCATCCATTTAAGGAATTTTTTGGGCTCATATTGAATGAAGTGTGTGTTTGAATGATGATGATTAATTATATTTTTAAATTTGATTAATTCTAAGCCCTCTAATTCTATTCTTACAATAATAAGTAATTAACTTGCAGATAGCTTTCGGACTAATATACTATTTGGACTGTAATGTTATAATTAAGATATCCATTATCTATACAAAATTAATTAGCTGAACAGACTATATAAATGATTGAGGACAGTAGGGGATGACAGAGTGAATGATAATATAGTATAATGGCATTTTATTATATGAATTACAATAATATTGTTAAATTATGACTAATATTTGCGGCGGGTCGAAATTATTTAAGATTAGTTTATTTTCAGTTAAAAATTTTTTCATCACTAAATGTCAATGGAATATATAAATTATGCAATTAGAGTATTTCAAATATATCTTATTTTATGTCTTTGGAACAAGGAAATTGCTACATATCTTTTAGTTAGTTGTTTTGCAGTAATTATCTTCTCATTTTGTTAAAAATTGAGGGTCTCTCAGGATAAATGCAGCTTCTTAAGAAGTTGATTGTAAAGTTCTGATAGAGAAAACAAATTCTCAGAAAACTGTACTAAGATTATAAATAAATGCTTCGTTTGAAGTATCATCACTACTCAGTGAAGCTTTTTTAAAAGCCGTGTTCGTCGAATTGCAGGATGCAGCTGCGATTTGAAACAACGAAAATTTGTTGTTCTCGCGAAAGAACTTTAATAGACCTTTGTCTCCTGCCACTTCACCAAATGAAAATTTTAACAACCGTCGGTGTTCACTCTAACCAAATGAAACTTCACCGTCTTCTCATACTAAGCAATATATATAATCCATTACTCTACCGCCGCGAATTTTCTAGCACGCATCAGGTATAAATGTAAAAAATAGATTGTATATGTGTTATATATATAAATACATAGAAATTAACGGAATATTGTGATGAATCATCGCGGGCAATAATGCCAAAAGGACCCGTCTTATTCACGAAATGGCATTATTGTATCTTAATATTTAGGCCACGTGTCATCGACCTGAACTCGTAGAGTACGTTTTATGACCTATTAGGCGTCCTATTAGAAGGATTATAGCCAGCATGCATGTGGTAACTAACTTTCCACTTTACAACGTCAACTGATGACGTCTAGTAAGCGATGGTTGACGGAAGTTAGTGGTGACTGGCGGCAATTTGCGGTGGCCGACCGGGGGGGGGCGGGGGTCGACAGAGGTCAGTGATGGTTGATGACGGACGGTGGTGGTCGATGGAGGTTAGTGGTGACTGGAGGTGATTAGCGGTGCGCGACAATGGTCGACAAAGGTCAGCAGTGGCTCTTTAGGTTCGTCTCATCAGGTCCGTCTCATCGAGCCGATCAGTTTGACTATAAGTTTGTTGAAATCGGAGCTCCGGATGACTCTTGATCAAAGTTTGAATGTTTCTTGTTCAAAAAATTGCATCGAGATTCGTGCCGGATGATGAAATTTTATTGGTGGTGTATCAAAAATTAAACAACAATTTTCTTCTAGTCACCGTGTTTTAATAGGTAATGTTGAAAAAAGTAGCTTCTCACCTTATAAATTCTTAGAAAGCAGTTACCTAAACAGAAATGCGGTAACAGTTTAAAACCAAAACATGCATAGAGATATCCCAAACGGATGCTTAATCTAGTCTATTTCCATAGAAATTATAACAAGTTCAAATGAGGTGAATATGCATGGTTCAAAAAATAATGGAAATTTAAGTAGGGTGTTCATTCATAATGCTAAGGATTTCCTTAATCAATTTGTCAACAGATTATTCAATAAGCTACAGCTGTCCCAAACAGACCCTTAGAGAAAGAATATGAACACTCAAAAATAAATTATTTATGAGAAGAACAGCCACAAAAAGATCCAATTTTGCACTGTGATTGAAAGCTAATCAAATTAATCAAATAGGCTTCATGAGTGCTGACAATCATCTTAGCCCTCTCTGGCTCTCTGCCATTCAAAGAAAGCAAAGAAATAAATACCTCTCGACAGAGGAACAAATAAAAATAAAAAAAAAAAGGAAGAAAATGATTCTTTTGCCACCAAAAGGCAGTAACTGAGCTCCTCCCGTGAATTACAAAGTACATCGCCAAAAGACCAGCCCTAATCTCATTACAGCTAAGCTCCCGGACCCACCAACAGTTGGTCCAATCGTCAAATGCCACCTGGCACATTCTTCTTTATAGGTTTGAATTCAAGTTTGACCGGGTAATTACACATGCCCGTTTAGCGCTTAGGGGCTTTATGGTAATTTAAACATAAATATAATTTTCATAATTAAGCTATTATACATTCTTATAAGTATTCAGTGTTTTTATAGTAATTTATACATAAATATACTTTACATAATTAAGCCATTAGACATTCTTTTAAGTACTCAGCTTGTGTGTGCGTGAGCGCTCGTTCGCTTGCTATCGTGATTTTTTGGTTGACAGAGTTTGTAATACCTATGGGGTCACATATTCGATCCCGCTTATGTGCGGAATGAAATTCTTAGACACATGAGGTTGGTCGGGAGACTCGTCTAATAGCCATATATGCAGCAGCACTTCCATATGCAAACTTGGCTCTCTTGAACTAACCCAAACGACCTCTCTGTCGATTTTTAACCGAACAAAAATAAAATAAAAATATTTTGACTGATTAAAGTGACTGAAGTAATTACTTAATCATAAAAAAAAAATATTTTCTAATTACGAAAGTCTTGAATTTGAATGTTTCCTTGCTTCATTCCATTTGAAAGGAATCAAATATGAGCCTTTAATTAAGCAAATGTCAATGCAATATGAATTGTTGCTGGAGATAGTTGTAAGACAATGAGTTGTGTCTTCTGTGGTGATTGCTAAATCGCATATTTATTTATATGGGTTGTTACAGCCTGCATGTTGAAATAAAAAATTATAAAAAAATTCATTGGGGGCATTTATGTAAATTTTTTTTTAACTGGAGATGGATTGAAGTCAATGAGAAAGATAATTGAAATAAGGGCGTTCAAAGCTTTTTCACATTTAGCTTTTGTTAGAACTAAGGTATTTTGCATATTTGAATGGACAATAAATAAAATTATATATAT